CTGACTCACAATGAAATATACGTTTCACACTGTGGTCCAAGGTATCAATACATACTGATAAAATGTGAAACAAATGTTTATATATATCTATTACAATATACTTATTTTATGTCTTTAAAAATACTGTTTTAGCATTCACAAACACATGCTTTCTTTCTCAGGGGAGGATTATACTGCCCACACTCATCAGTCTCAGACTTGGTCATGTGACTTGTTCTGTTCAATGAAATGTGAGTGGCCAGCATTATTTCCAAGCAAGATTTTAAAATGCAGTTTTTGGTTCACTACTTCCTTTCTATTCTCTGTAACAAGAATATTCCAGATAGAGGCTGCTTGTTGAAGCTCCTGAACATTGTCTCTGTGTCATAGCCTATATCCATAAACAATTCACTGTTGTAATACAGTGAATGATGCAGGATCCATTCATGAACTTATGGCAACAGTTTGAACAATTACTGTGCTTTCTCTTTCTTTTATTGTTCTTTACACAAAATGAAGCTCCTTAATATGTACATATCTATGATACTTTCTTTTCTCTAACAATCTCCACCAGCAATTTTATCCTATACATTGTCTTGATCATTTCTCATCTGGATTGTCAACTGGTCTATCAGCTGGTTGTTTGCCTTTCATTCTTTCTCTTCCCATTAGATCTCTTTGTAGTCTCTTATACTAACACCTCACTCTCGAATACAAACAGAACCAAGGTACTTTCCTCTTCTTACTTGTAAAAAAAAAGATGGGTCTAGACTGCCTCTAAGGCCTACCTCATTTCTAAGATCTATGAGTCTAAAAACAATTTAATTTATTATTACAAGTCATGGCAATAATAACTTAGTCTCCAATTAACTAATTTCTTTTAAAATGCCTCATTCTGGACACTACTATTAAAATGATGTATTTCTACAGTTCTGTGTATCAAAGCCGCTTAAAAAGAAAGAAAATATGTGCACAATATAGTTTTAGCAGAGGCAATTATTCTTCAGTGTACTGAAATATAGGTCATATAATCCATCTGACATATACAATGTCATTTATAACAATTTAAGATCCAAGTTGCTTATAATTAGTTATAAAAATATTGCAAAGAACTGAACCAAAATGAAGCCCAACAAACCAGCTACCAAACTACAAATATGTCTTCAAAATCTTATGGGATTCAAAAATTCCAGTAAAAATAACAGACAAGATGGAAACACAAGTTTCTTATTATCACACTTCATATGTTATAAAACATAACAGTGAACTTATTTTTGGCAAAATGATTAAGGATTGCAACACTCTCGCTTATACAAACTTACTTGATTGTCAAATGCATCTTAAATGGAGTGTGTCATGCTAACTTAAGGGATACAGGCCTTGGTTTGTATTAGAGTGGCCCAGAGACACTGACATTTCAACACTTCAACAGGAACAACACCATCAATATTAACTGGCACAGGTGTTTAACGGGAGGGGAGTAAGTGGGGGAGAATTTCAACAGTGTAGTTAATTGAAACCAGATAAAGCTTTTGAATAATGGAAAAAAAACATACGAATGTCTCTCTGCCTGAAAAAGGTGTCCTTTCGGGACAATTTATCACATACATTTTCTTAGCATCCACTTTTCTTTAAGAAGATAAAACATAATTTCACAAGTTTCTTTGAAAACTCTCTAAATAATCACAGTATGAGTTATAACTCACAAATAAGACTAGGTTAAGCTCATATTTCATCTCCCCTGTCCCTTTCACTACTGTTAATATTTTTCTTTTTCCTTTTTCACACTGAGGATTGAACCCAGGGTTTGACACATGCTAAGCATGTGCTCTAACTCTAAGCTACACCCCAGCTTCTTTTACTATCATTCTTGCAAAGGTAAGTTATAAAGCTGAAGAAGCTATAAGAAGGCATATTAACCTTAAGATGACTCACACTGATTTCCTAACAGACATTGTGAATATAATCCTGAAAAGAGAGAGGGGTTCAAAACAACATAAAGGATGCAACACTGATCAAGATATATATATATATATATATACATTTTTTTTTTTTTTTGGTCCGGTCGTGGGGCCTTTACTCTGGGCCTGGGCGCTGTCCCTCAGCTCTTCAGCTCAAGGCTAGCGCTCTACCACTTGAGCCACAGCGCCACTTCCGGCTTTTTTCTTTTTGCTTATGTGGTGCTGAGGAATCGAACCCATGGCCTCGAGCATGCAAGGCAAGCACTCTACCACTGAGCCACCTTCCCAGCCCTCAAGATATATTTTTAAACATATATTTATAAACATATTGAATTGAAATCCCTTCGTATAATTACTTGAAGGTATTTAAAAAATAAAATAAAAACAAATACATTGAACAACTGTTTTCAAATACATACAAGAGAAACTACACATTACATACAGAATAGATTTGGAGCAAACAAAACACAAAAGGACACACTGATGATTAAGTTAATAACTGTGATGAGCTAAAAATGAGTATTTTTCCTTATGCTTACAGAAAATACTATTATGATTTCAAATATGCAAGTATCCTTTTTCATGTTACAATTTTTTGAAAATACCTGTAACAATAAAAGTTATAATTTATATCAGCTTGCTGTATACTTAACAGAACTAAGTCGCTGCCTACATTAGAAAATAATTATTTTAACTTATATACTACTATTATCACATGATTGACTATATACCACTCAAATGACATCGGAGCTACACAGTAGTGAGTAGGCAGCTTTGACATGGCTCCAAATGCTCTTTACCTCCTAGAAGTCATGCTTTTGTGTAATTCCCTCTCCTTGAGGGTGAGCTTCATAAAGTGTTCTGATTCTAACGCAAACAATACAAAAAAAGTGATGTGATGTCACTTCAGCAAGTAAGTTATAGCCTGTGACTTTCATCTTGCCAAAGTATTCTCTTTGGCAGTTCTACCAAGGTTGCTCAGATGCAGCAGCCAGAGGCTGACCTGTTATAGAGGATGGATACAACTCAACTGTCAGTGATGAACTAAGGTCTGAATCCAAGTACTCTTGGAACTAAATCCTGCCAACAAACCATGTGAGGACTTTGGAAGCAGACCCACATCACTTCAAGTCTTTGATGAGACTGCAAGTGTGGAAGATACCTTGATTATATCCTGTGAAAGACCTTATAGTAGGGGACCCAGATAATCTGTGTGAGATTTCTGATAAGCAACTGAGAAATTAAATTTGTTTCATTTTATGTTGCTAAAGTTAGGACAACCAGACACAGAAGAGTAGATAACCAATACAGTTGTGAATCACTAGTTAGCATAAAACCTGGGTCATTGATTCCAGTGTCATTTCCATAACAACTTACTTAGAACTTTTCAGTTCCAGGGGCTATTCTTAATACTTTATATAATCCCTCACAAAAATCTTTTGAAGAACGTATAGTTATCCTCAGTTTGCAGATGAGGAAACTAAGGTAGGAGCTCAAAAATCTGTTCAATGTTATACAGATACAAATTGACAGGAAGTTGCTGAATACAGGTCACTGGCTAAAGCCAACAGTCATACCAACTATGCAGGCAGAACTGCTAGCAGATAGGGCTGAACACTGTATAGATGATAACCAAGTATACAGGACTAGTGGAGATTTTAAGGAAATGGACAAAATTATAAACTAACTAAAGGTTAAAAAGGTTAACTGAAGGTTAAAAGCAAAAATAAGTCCTGTTTTCTGATTAAAATGTCTTATTTAGGAGAAAGATACAATAGAGTAGAAGCAATAATACAATGAATAGAGTGCCATCTTAAATTTGCCAAATTCACACTTAGGAATGAAAAAGGTATTTTTTATATCCAATAAGAGAAAAGTTCAAAAATCTTCACTGATATTAAAAACCACAGCCAAGGAGACTTCAACTGTATTTTTTTTCCAAGGGCTATTATGAATAAGTGAATGTGTCAAGCTAGCTGGAAGTGGAACAAATTTTTAGTGGAGCATCCAAGATGCTAGTGGAGGTATTTCCTCATATGGAGTAAAGAGTCAAGTGAAAGGATCATTTCCCTCTTGTCTTCAGGTCATTAGAATCAACTTCATTCCTCTCATCTAGTATTTATACAAGATAGCAGATATCACAACCAATGGTTAGTCTGATTTCTCCAGAAGACTCCAGGGCCTTTTAGCTGTAAGATTTATCTGGAAACTCCTCAGAACAAAGTACAGTACCTATACGTGGAAATGCTTAATATGTATGAACAAAGAAACGAATTATTTTGTGAACTGTTTCTATTCAGTGGATCTTTCTAATGGTATGTGCTAGTGAAAGCACATGTTTTTGCTTTAAGTTTCTTATAGTTCCTTTCCTTTTCTGAGCACTTTAAACCAATCTTTGTGACTTTAGTACCTCACTTAATATCTGGTATTCCATTACCCAAGATGTATTTGTGTAGGGGCTAAGGATGTAGCCCAGGGGTGGAGTGTTTGCCTAGCATGAACAAGGCACTAGGTGAATTCTTAGTACTAAAAAAAAAAGAAAAAAATATGTGGATGAAAAAATGAGTGTATACTCATAAAGGTTGCTAAGCTATAGGTCATTTATAACCACTAAAAACCTATTATTCCAAAAGGGCAGATGTTTGTCTGCTATTAACAAAGACAGCGATACCTTTTTTTGCTTCAAGAATATTGGTATAAAATACTTTCCTAATATATGCAGATTCCTTTTTTGTCTTGACTGTTCCTAAATATTCCTTCATAAATAATAGCAAGTTAAAGATAACATCAGAGCCAGAAAACCCTGATTCAAAGATATTGATGTAGAATATTCCACTCCCTCCCCCCCTTAGCATTATTCTTTGAAACATTATAGAAATTTCACAAACATATACTCACATGGATCCATAGTAATAGGGAGGTAAGGATACAAGAAGCCACCAAGTATCCTTGCCTTTTTTCTATTTATCCTTAACCAAGAGACAAAAGAACAAGAAAAGCTGAGGAGAATTTGTGCACAACATAGCCAAGGATCTGCAGTCACTTCCCAGGCATACTTACTGGGAGCTCAGGGGCTTGCTTCAAGATCTGAAGAGCAAGATAGCAGCCTACTGAATGGCCAATGAGCATAAGTTTCATTTCCTTTGGCACATGAGTTTTCAGAAAAGCCAGTTTGTGTTCTGTTTGGCCATTCAACCCATAGACATCCTTAATTTCTTGAGCACTTGGATCTAAAAGCAAATATATAAGCATACTTTCACTCAAAAACTGGAAGTATCCACTAAGCTTCAAAGTAATTTTTTTTTAAAAGCACAGGCAGGAGTAACTATTAATAAAAAGTCTATAGTGTATTTAGTTACAGTATTAGACACTCAAATTATGTCAACCAATACTCATCATCATTTTCATATCATAGTGAAAAATCTCAACACTTACAGACTCATAACAGGCCGACTGTTAATTCAAATACAGATCTCTTTGTTCTCAAAGCCCATAAACTTTGAACTGTTCCATGAACAACAATTAGCTTAAGTCAGGGTTCTCAAACTTAAAAAGGGAACCAATCCCCCAGAAGGCTTATTAAGAGATTTCTACGCTATACCCCAAGTTTCTTACTTGGTAGATTTGGGTTGGGGCCCAAGGATTTTTATCACCAAATTTTCAGGAGATGTTGATAGGTCAGGTCTCAGGATCACACATTGAGAACCACTGGCTTGAACTAATTCATGTTATTAATAGACAATTAAGAAAAATGGCATAGCTTCATTAATTTAAATAAGCTGCTCATTTCTTTAAAGACCTCAGACTTAAAGACTTCAGTTAAAATGTAAACTGTTCTTTTTAACTAGCACAGTCTTGACCTGTGATAGTCTTCCTTTCTGTCAAAACTCTTTGCTAAGTTCTTCAATATTGAATTAAAAATGCCCCTTGCCTTCAAGGAGATCACAGTAGAGTAAGAAAAAACATAGATAAAAACAATTATGAGACCCTGAAGTAAGTATTTCAAGAACTTTACTTGGACAAAGATCAAAGTTTTATTGGATCAGGGTTTAAAAAAAAAGGCAGTACTCCTCTGTATTCATAAACATAAAAACTGATGTACCTTTCTCTAAGTTAGCCAAGACAAGTAACTAAATTTACTAAACTTACTGTATGCATATACATATATGTAATGTTTACATACAAACTGAATAAGATCTGATAAGACTAGATATTAGCTATCTGAGCCTTTAGCTAAGCCTGAATCTGCAGATGGTAACTTCACATCTCACAGGAGAATTTTCTTGGTTATTGAGCTCTTCCATCTTGCCCCTACTATTGCTCCAAAGTGACATGTTACTAATGATTTTAATTAAACAATTTACATAATAAAGAAGCTGAAAACATCATATTTGTAAGAATGCTTTGAGCAGGACAAGTGAATTGTTTACTCTTTAGATGTCTTGGGATTTTTGTTTGTTTTTTGTTTTGGTGCTAGTCCTGTGGCTTGAAGTCAGGCCTAAGCACTGACTCTTGAGCTTTTTTGTTCAAGTCTAGTGCACTACCACCTGAGCAACTGCTACACTTCTGGCTTTCTGGTGGTTAATTGGAGATATAAGTCTCACAGGCTTTCCTACTGAGCTAACTTTGAACCATGATCCTTAGATCTCAGCCTCCTGAGTAGCTAGGATTATAGGAGTGAGCCACTGGTATCTGATGTTTAGATAATTAAAAAAATACAATAATATTGTATTATTCATTGTACATATATAACTAAAAATACAGAAACAGCCAGAAGTTATTTACTCCAAATTCATGATGGAACTGGAGACAGGATACAAAAAGAACTTCTCTCTGTATTATCTCATATATTTTATTAATAAAAATGTCAAAATAATTATGGCACTGTTAACAGTCAATTGTATATAATTGAAATCGGATTGTTATACTAAAATGATAAAAAATGCTTTGATATGTTTTCCCAAGACGTTTTACCCCTATTTTATAGGTAAAATTACTATTCACATCATTATTACTCAAATGGGATACAGGGGCCCCAAGAGACTTTTTGGGTTCAAGCTAAATAACGATCAGTAAAATAGGTAGATGATAACTGTGGTCTTTAATTCTTTATGTTTAATTTACTGGTCCAAAAGTCTCCTTACACAACTCTCCCCAGAGATTACTAAGCTAACATTAAAGTACATTCTCATAGTCTTGGTTCATCTGGACCCAGAACCTTAAGTGTTTGGTTTGCTTCCTGAATCTTAACATTGGCATAATTCTGCTAGCTCTAAAAGTATGACAGACATTTCACTCAAAACTTCTATTTTACTTAAAAACAAAAAAGGAAACCTGTTAACTCCAATTACATATCTTACAAACTAATATTCAATTAATATTCTCCAAACAGATGGTAATATAAAGGATCATCAAACTATGCTTTCCACTAACACAAATGATCTGCTAAGGACTCCAAGAAGAGAAATGAGGAGCATGGGAGAGATTCAGCAGGAACAGCAAACTGACTTAGCAAACAACAAAAGACACTTAGAGTGTGAGCTATTTTGAAGACAGCCATAAACACTGTGGGTATCTGTGGTTATTGGGAGACATGGAGCAGAAAGGTCAGAAAATAAGACTGTCACTTGTCAGGTAGGATGCATGCCATCACACTGAGGGATCCAGAAGATCTCCAAGGCACAACATGGTCTGCTCTGTGGTACAGAGAGGAACTGTCATTCTGACACTTCTTAGTACAATAAAGATTACTAAATAAAGAGGAATTTGGGTTTAAAAATGTAATTCATAGACACTGGCTACTTCAAACAGAAAAAGAATTTATTTAGAAGATATTGAGCTTTACAAGTATTCATGGGACATTCAACAAGACAGGACATACACTGGACCACAAAAAGAAGACTAACAAATTTAAAAGACTTGAAGTCTTTAAGTGTATTTTTCTCCAACAATAATGAAAATACTAGAAAGCAATAATAGGAAATAGGAAAACTTGCAAAAAATTGGATATGACTAATATTCTTTTAAATAACTCATAGGGCAAAGACAAGATCTCAAGAGAAATAAAAGATAATAACGTATCAAAATCTGTGAGACACAGCTGAAGTAGTGAAAAAAATTTATAGTACTAAATAAATGCATTGTAAAAGAAGAAAACTCTGCTACCAACAATCTAAGCTCTCACTTTAAGACCTAGTAAAAGGAGAGTAATATGTAGGCTCAATACTCCCTATCCAAAATGCTTGGGAACAGAAGCTTTTAAGGGTTCTGATTTTCTCCCCCTGTGGATTTTTGGAATGTTTACATAGACTTTACCAGATGAGAATCTCTCATGTAAAAATCTGAAAACTGAACAACTCCTTAGTCCTTCCTCTCCTCTCTTCTCCTCTGGGGTTCTAATAATGTGATGGACTCCTAGTTTCTTTTCTAGCTTTGCCTTTTGGGTTTTGCTTCTTTTCACCTAGAACCTTGTTTTCATGTCTCGTGACCATGGGTCCTGAGATTTGCCTGTTTGCGTCTTCTTGCCTTGGGCTCATCTGTCATTCCATCTTTCTCTATTTCCCCTGCCAGGCCCTATCTTGGCAAGAAAAAGCTCTACCAGTTTCACTCTCTTCCTTTCTTTTACCAGGGCCACATGGAAGTAGCTTCCAAATCCATGGTTAGCTGCAAGATTGTACAACTTTTGAGGGGTAAAAATTAAACAAGTATGATTTCTAGCTTCATATATATACTTGGTGCTGGTACTGGGACTTCAATCGAAGGCCTGGGCACTGTCCTTTACTTAGCTTTTACATTCAAAGCTAGTGCTCTACCACTTGAGCCACAGCTCTACTTCTGGCTTTTCAGTGGTTATATGGCTGGTTTTTGAACCATTGTGATCCTTAGATCTCAGCCTCTTGAGTAGACAGGATTACAGGCATGGGCAGCTGGAACATGGCCTATTTTATACTTTTCAAACAAATGACCAGAAATAATTTACAATAAATTTGCCATCAAGGAAGATTATTTTGGTAAATCAAAGCTATAAAACAATATATGCTTCTAATTAGTCAAGTTTTCCTTTTGCTTTTTTTCTTGAAACATTTTTTTTCTGTCACTGGTGAACTTCTGTCCTCTGAATTATTTTCACATTTTTGATTGTCATAATGTAGTGCAACTAAAATGTTATTTCAGCTATTTATAATCTTAACATATGTCAATACAAAGCAAAACATATGGTCAACATTTGATGTATTGTTACAGCTTTCTCTCAATAATTACATGCTTTTTCACACTATTCTGCATGCCAGAAAACTAGACCTTAGGACAATAATCTTCAATGGTGAAAAATACATCTGCTCTGCCTACACAAAGCCATCTACTATAGCAAACATCTGTCAGCATAACCTCCAATATATGGAACAGGTGAACTTAGAACTGTTCTGGATGAATGAGGAAGTAATAAGGCTGAGGGTCCTACTTATCCTTCACAGAACTTTTGAGGCTACTCAAAATAAATATGGAGATCAGTATCCTAAAAGATGGCATTTCTATTCCTCTTTCATTCTAATGCAGCACCACACATAAACTAGTTGATTGTCCATAAGTCCTTGCTAATGACAAGTTAACCTTTTCTTCTTTAGAAACCACAGCTGCTACTGGCGCTGTGGGGGCCCTTAAGGAGAATGCCTCTAGATGGCACTGTTTTCATTAGGGAGCTAAGAACCCAGGCTCTAATTACTGTTATTAACTCAAGAACATACTCAAGATCACCTCAAAAGGTAGCAAGCATACTTAAGTAGTTACAAGAACTTTAAAATAATTCGTAGAAATTCAGACACACAACAGATACTTTTTTTTAAAAAAAAAAACAACAGATGCTTTTTACCGGTTTTGTTCACTTGTGTTAAGTTGGGAAGATCTAGGGCAAATGGCTCTGAAAATGTGATCCCAGGACTGACAACGTGAACATTACTTGGGTACTTGTTGGACAATTCTGTTTCCATCACAGATCTATTGAATCAATAACTCACAGGGTGACCTTTTATGTCTCAATAAATCACCTAGGAGAATCCTAAGGCATACTAAGGTTTGAGAACCACTGATCTATAGGTCTGTTTTAAGTTGCTATTTAGACTCTGCTGATTCTTTTCTGTCTTTGCATGTGCAGATAGCTACTGTGATTGCTGATGTTGTGCTAAATGAGAAACAGTCTCTTCAGTGGATAGCCTTTCTCATCCAGGTAATATTGTAGGAATAAGACATGCTAGCTACTCAACATTAAGAAGCTTAAGCAAATAAGAAGAGAGATTCACTTTCACTGGGTATCTTGCTTCACTCCTATTACTTCCCAGTTCCTATGGCCTTGAATTATCTCTTCTTTTGCCAGAGTTCTGACAACAGGCCAGTACAGCTGGCAGTGTTTGGAACTCTGCAAGAGTTCTATCACTGAGCTGTCTATCCCCAGTTAAGAAGAATTCTTTTAGTCCCTATTTTGCAAGCACAGCATAAGACTGAACAACCAATCATATTTTAAACAGATATAAATTTCATGATAAAAGAAATACTATGGTACCTTTAAGAGTATTTCACAGCAGTGCATCTAATATATTTAATTGATTTTCAATAATAATTTAATATGATGACTGTTGAAATAGGCATTTTTAATCAAAGCAATACAACATGTATATTTGGTTTTACTTCACTATCCCTTTTAAAATCTTTTACAGGTAGGTAATAAAAATTCATTTTTTCAAAATGCACCCTGACTTACATAGAAAGCATTTTATTGTGAATTTTCACTGCTGCAATATAGGAGAGCAATTAACTTTTGTATATTAACCTTGCATCACTTTCTAATTCCAAGAGATTTTGTTGATGGTGCTTCGGAATATCCTATGTAGACAATTTCCCATGTTGTTGGTGAATAAGGTAGTTTTATTTTCTTGCTTGCTAATCTTTTTTTTTTTTTTTTGGGTCTGGTCGTGGGGCCTGAACTCTGGGCTGGGCGCTGTCCCTCAGCTCTTCAGCTCAAGGCTAGAGCCCTACCACTTAAGCCACAGGCGCCACTTCCGGCTTTTTCTTTGCTTATGTGGTACTGAGGAATCGAACCCAGGGCCTCATGCATGCAAGGCAAGTGCTCTACCACTGAGCAACCTTCCCAGCCCCTTGCTAATCTTTTTTTAATATATATATATATATATATTTTATTGTAAAGATTCTGTACAGACCTTTTATTTCTTCTTCTTGTCTCACAACCTAGGCAGGAATTCCAGTACAATGCTGAATGGGAGTGATGTGAAAGGACATCCTTGACTATACCCTATTTTAGGAGGTAGGCATCTATATTCTCACTGTTATGCATGAATTTAGCTGTGGGCTTTTTTTATTTCTAGTTTGCTGAGGTATTTTTTTCTTTTTCTTTCTGGTCATAAATGTGTTAGTTTGTTAAATGCATTTTCGATAGCAATTGATATTATCATATGATTTTTCCCTCTTTGACATGTTGATGTGATGGGTTGATTACATTATGTTCAAATGTTGAACCAGTCTTGCACACCTGTAATAAATTTTATTTGACTGTGGTATATAATTTGTTCTTTACAATGTTAAGAAGAGGTATTAGTCTACAATTTTCCTTTCTTGTTAGCTATAAATGTTTATCTGATTTTGGTAATAGGATAATGCTGGTTTCATGGGCTGAATTAGGAATTGTTCCTTCTCCTATTTTTCTGGAAGAGATTATAGAGAATTGGTATAATGTTTTCATTATTATTCATTTTTATTTATTTATTTTACTATAAAGGTGATGTATGGGGGGGCTACAGTTACATAAGTCAGGTAATGAGTGTATTTCTTTTTGAAAAGTGTCACCTCCCCTTCCTCAATTTCTCCCAGATTTTTCTTCTCGACCTCCTCCCCTCCAAGTTGTATAGCTCATTTCCAACATAGTGTCTAGTGAGCATCACTGGATGTTTTCATTAAGTGTTTGATAGAATTCACCAATGAAATCATCTGATCTTGATACTTTCATACTTAGAAAGTTATTAATTACTGGCACATTTGTTTTCTTGATTTAAAATCTATTCTCTTAGAAAAACTTCAAAGACAGTATAGTACAGTAGTAACTGTAGTAATCTTATCATAATTAGATCTCTGGAACTTATAATTCAAAGTTCTTACCTATTCTTCAATATATTTCCATTTCTCCTACTCCCTGGCCTGCATAAACCACCACATAACTCTATTTCTCTGAGGCTGACTTTTTAGGATTCCATATACAATAAGTGAGATTATATGTACTTTTTTTTTTAGTACTATTGTGAGTTGAACTGCTTATTTCTTTACAGGAATCATAGTAAATGTAGCTGATATTTTTCCATATTGATTTTGTATATTGCAACATTACCGAATTTATTTCTTTGCTCTAATTTTTGGTGGAGTCTATAGGGAGTTCTCTATTATAAGGCTTTGTTATCTGAAAACATATTATTTACCTGTTTAGTTTATCTTAGATGTCTTTTATTTTGCCTAATTGTTCTGAGTATTATATCAAATGAGGTAGTGAGAGTGGACACCATGGTCTTATTCCTTTCAGAGGAAGAACTTTCAGTTTTTCACCATTGATTATGTTAACAGTTGGCCTGTCATATATACCATTAATATGTGGAACCGCATTCATTCTATACTAAATTTGTGGAAAAGTTTTTATTACAAAAGTGTGCTAAATTTTGTCAGATGCTTTTTTGCATCCTTTGAGAAAATTATAATTTTTCTTCATCTTGTTTAATGTGGCAATTAATTTGCACATTTTGAAGTATCTCATAAACCTCATTTTATTACCTGCTCAATCTCTTGTGTCTGAGCAGGTAGTAAAAAGCAAACAGGTGTTGTGAAAAAAAATACATTCAGAATAAAAAGGGAATTATTTTACTAAGGTTTAAGATATGCACTTCATCATGCCATTAGCACAGGGAAAAATAGCACTAAAAGTACTGGACAGTATTTAGATAATTATTTCAGCCTGAATACAACTTGTCAACTATTGTGCAATGTGTGAAAGACATTGAGAAATAACTGAGAAATTTCATCTCTTTGTGCCAAGGCACTAACTTTTGTTTCATTTAGTGCTGAAAAAATTTTAAGCATAATTAAAACAAAATATTATAAAATTATGATCTCCTTTTATATTATAGAATACACTTAACTTTTAAAATTTTCTTATTTACAGTTTTCTGTGTTGGCTAAATTTTTGTAATAAGAAAATGAACTTTTAATATAAAAATGATAAAGCCAATCCATTTAAAAATAAATAAAATTTACAATGCTATTCACTGAACCTAAAAGATGAGTTAAAAACTAAAGACAAACTAGCTAGAATTAGATAAATTGATACTGGTTATCTAATCCAAGTTAATATTAGATTAATAAATTAATCCTTGGAGGGCATCTAGAAGAGTTCACGTAATTATATTAATTGCCACTAAATCCAAATTCTAAAATGGAAACAAAACATTACATTTGATATGATGGTGAATGCCAAACTCAAGAGTACATAATTAAACTAAACCATAACACAAACTAGTCCTGCTCAATCACAGAATACAGATTTTGTGTATTCAAATGTGTTTATTTAAAACAGTCCCCAAGCCGGGCGCTGGTGGCTCATGCCTGTAATCCTAGCTACTCAGGAGGCTGAGATCTGAGGATCGCAGTTCAAAGCCAGCCCGGGCAGGAGAGACCGTGAGACTCCTATCTCCAATAAACCACCACAAAACCGGAAGTGGCGCTGTAGCTCAAGTGGTAGAGCGCTCGCCTTGAGCTGAAGAGCTGAGGGACAGCGCCCAGGCCCAGAGTTCAAGCCCCACGACCGACAAAAATAAAATAAAATAAAACAGTCCCCTAAGAAACAGGATCCAAGAGGGTAGTAAAACCACTTCTCTCACCTCAGAAAACAAGGAGAATAACCAAGGACAAAAGATCCTTGAATATGATGCCTATGGAGAATTGACATTGATATGTTAATTGATATATTTTTTTCCCTCTCTTTAAAAAAAAATTCAGGAGAGTGAACATGTTAGAATCTTAAGTAAAAAGCAGGTAGTCTGCATGTCAACATTAATACTTCTTCCATTTAAAAGCTTTCTAGCAGTCTATCACAGTCCTAGCTTTCTCAACTTTCACAATTCCCCTTAAACTAGCCCCTTAAACTGTACCTCCTAACCCTCACTCCTTCTGCCTGTTACATCTCTGCATCCATGTCCACCCCCAAATCCAAAACCTACACAAGTTCCAAAACCCACACTAGAGTCTATTATATGCACTCCTGTATATGCTGAAAATCCTACGATCAAATGTAATAGTATTAGAAAATGGAATCTTTACAAGGTAATTATAATTAGATAATTACAAAAACAAAGTCCTCATGATTGGGACTACAAGAGGATTACTATAAGAGGATATAGCTAGGAAAATGCATCTATGAATCAACAAGTAGGCACTCCTCAACATATAGGAAACGGGCCTGTATCTTTATCTTGTATTTACTCAATTCTAGCTCATGTTTATAAGCTAACTGTCCAAGGAATTCATCCTTATCAGCCTATACTGACTTATGACATCTGATATTTCACAGTTTCTTCTCACCTACACTGTGGGTTTGTTTATTCTTTAGACTTACATACAATCAGCAGCCCTGAGTATATCATGTCATCATTCCCTGAACATGTATAAGACCATGTATAAGACCACATCTTATACATTTTCTCTACTAGTCCTCCCTATACAACCTTGGGAAAATATATTAATAAATGTATGGTTGATTAGTAACTGGTAAAAAAAAGGAGGCAAGTCATATATAGATTGAGCTATCCAAATCCTGATGACCTTCAGAAGAGTGAAGTCTCTAAAAATCTTAAACATGCTAAAATGTAACAGCATCATGAGCCCTGCAAGCAGGGATTTTCCCTGTCAAACTCTTAATGGTACTCATAGTATTTCTAGAAATATGAATACCTATTTATCATAAAGAATAACAGATGTTACCATACCTTCTGAAGGTGAACGTGTCGTTTTGTTTGCAGGGGCCAATACATGTCCAGCATGAGAAATAACCCAAACTGGAAAGCATCTGCCAGTCAAGGAATACAATGCTTTTGCAAATGATATATAAAAGTAAGGGAAACCTGGGTTACCTAAGTAAAGAAACAAAGTTCTCAGATTAACCAATGCAATGAAGTCATGTAAGGTAAAGTATAGACTAGAATGAAAGGGTTTATCTGTTCTCACTGTCCTCTACAAATCCAGCAACATCTTTCTATATCGTTAAGTCTAGGAATACAATTTCCAGTGGGGAATTTACAAAACAAACTAACAAGCAAAAGCCCTGAGGATGTTTCTGCTCCAATGCCCCCTTCCACACAGTGTGTTCATATTCCCTAGGTGGAAATTCAGGTTCTACATGTAGTACCTCTTTCTAAATGCTTAATAGCTATTTTCCCACACAAGATGAAGCACCAGATTGTTCTTCCTTTCAGAAAACTGTTCAGATTTATTTTTTTTATCCAGCAAATAAACTCAATATGCTCTTTGACACCCTTTAACAATATTCTACCTATGAGAATGGACCATAATCTTGATTGACTGTACATGGTGGCATTATTTTTTACTTACCTGTGTCACTTTCTAGATACAGATCTTCATGTGAAATATCCTGGTATATTGCCATCTTAGGATTGTATTTACTTACTAATTTAAAGTGTATAATAATATTCCAAATAATAGCATTATTTCAAAATAATAATGCCATTTGTAGATAATAAGCACAAGAATATCCAAATGATTTACTCCTTATTTCTTCCTTGGTTTTCAACACAGACATGGATTGTTGAATATATTGCATTATGATGGGTGAGAAGTTGGTTTGGTTCATGTTATTTGATCTATAATCCTTCAGATAGTTTTGCATAGCTTTTCTACTATCCCTCCCCCCCCCCCAAATTACTGGAAGCTTTACTCAATTAAGATTTTAAGGACTTTATCTGCAGAACATTGACTCTAGATTTGTCCTGCTGTCCTACCTCAGCTCGGTGACTACCAACCACATGTAATTAGGCAAGTTATTTAGTCTCTCTGAGTTAGTTTCCTGCTGGGGAAAATTGGGGACTATATTTATAACTACCTCACAGGATCTGTGAAATGTACTAATTACCTTAAATAATTCATTAAAGCGCTCACAAAATTTCTGGCACATAATAGATGCTTATTTTTTTCTAATGATTCCCATTAAGTTTTATGATAACTTGACAATGGTATTACATTTTTTTTTTCACTTGAAAAAGTCTTAGAAAGCTTCAGAAAAAGTCTGGGAATAACAACCTAGAAAATAAGTTCTCCCTATTTCTTAACCCACTAAATGGAACTGTCAATCATAAAAGTGCTTAAATAAAAACACTAGGAATCATTCTTGGTTTCTCCTAGGTTTTCACATCCATTAGCCTCTAAATGAATTTTAAATTTGCCTACTTCTCACCATTAGTGCTTATCATCTGTCACTAGGTTTTCTAGAACAGCCTCCTAACAGGTCCTCTCTATTCTTCTTGAGAGAGAGGGAGGGAGGAGGGTAGGCAGAGTGTTCTCCAAACTTCAAATCAAAGCATAGAAGGTGATTATTTATTTGCTTATTTATTTAGTGCCAGGGTCTGGGTACTGAACCTGGAGTTGATTTTTTTTTTCTTTTTTCTCTCAAGATTAGCACTCTACCACTACAGCCACACCTCTACTTGTGGCTTTTGGGGAAGTTAATTGGAGATAGGTCTCACTGACTTTTCTGCCTGGACTGGCTTTGGCTGTGATCCTTAGGTTGCAGCTCCTTAGTAGCTTTGATTACAGGTGTGAGCCACCTGGTACTGGGGCCTGAGCTAAGGGCCTCTTGCTCGTAGTTGGCCTTTTCACTCAAGGCTGATACTCTCCCATTTGAGCTAATGCTCTACTTCTGGCTTTTTGCTGGTAAATTGGAGATGAAAGTCTTATGGACATTACTGCCTGGGCTGGTTTCAAACTGCCTTGGCCTCTTGAGTAGCTAGGACAACATATATGAACCATCAGTGGCTGGCAGAAATATTCTTTTTATTGTTAATTTCTATTTTTTTGTGCTAGTTATGGGTTTGAACTCAGGGCCTCAAGCTCTTGTTCTTATGTAACTCATTTTTTCTATATTGATTTGAAATGCCTTCTAATCTAATACTAAAAATTTTACTAGTTTGATCATTTTAATTCCAAATAATGCTGCTTACTGTTTTCTTTTCCCCTTTGTATACTGTGTGGGCATATATGTATGTTTCAATAATTAGCAAGGCAAATCCCTTTATTTAGAAAAATCTCACTGGGCACCAGTGGTACACGTCTGCAATCCTAGCTCTTCTGAAGGGGAAGAGTTGAGGATCATGGTTCAATGCCAGCTTAGGCAGGAAAGTCCATGAGACTTTTATCTCCCATTAACCACACACACAGACACACAAACACACAGACACACAAACACACAGACACACCCACAGATACACATACAGCTGGAAGTAGAGATGTGACTCAACCGGTAGAATGCTAGCCTTGAGCACAAAAACCTCAAGCCCTTTATTTTCCTAAATTTTCTTGGTTAGTCTCTCATAATTTACAGTTTTAGTTACACTAATTTCAATTTTTACAAAGCTCTTTAGGATTCTGAATAAAATTTCATTTAATTCATGCATTACTTTGCAAAGATATACCTTTTATTACTAAGAATAAAATCTTTCAGAACTGTGTTCCATTTCATATTCATATTTTTTTACATCACTGACTTAAATGCTACAGATTCTTCATATGGCTAGAAGATACCTATACCTAACATTTTAAGTGCTGTTATTAAATGTACAAATGCACACACACGTAGACACACACATAATCATCTTAATTTTCACTATAGTTTATATAGACTAATTCCCAAAATAAAACATAATTCTGAATCTTATAAAGGAATGAGAAGAGCTAGCCTAGAGCTTTCAAAAATTCAAGAAAAGGGCCAAGAGAAGAAAAGGACAAGCATAAAAGAACACAAGAAATAAAATGTGGGGGGAGGAGAGGGAAGGGATAGTGGGACAACAAGGAAGGGAAGGGGTAACAATGGAAGGGAAACAATGTAACAATGATCGACAAGTAATGTACCCATTGCCTTACTCATGTAATTGTAACCCCTCTATACAGCATATTAACAAGAAAATTTAAAAAAATGTGACTTGAAAATGTCAAAGCACTACAAGCAATGAGATTCCATCTGCAATGCCTTCACTGAAGGCTTCCTACACCTCCTACTGTTATCAGAAACCTGGCTCCCCAGTGATGGACTCTTCCTTTCAAGCCTTTTCAATAGAGGACTCACTCACAATTCCCTAACACCACCACACATACCTCAGTAACAGCAAAGACTTTTACAACACAGTATTCCTAACACCTGAGATAAACGGAAGAATAAATGAATACCACTAGTAGAAGTAGTAGAATAGGCTGTCTGTTTACTATTTTACCTTACAGTAGTTTTTTCTTCCTAATTAAGCCAAACATATTAAGAGGCCTAAAGAAGGGAAGAAAAAATTACTCTGGAAAAGAATGAAAGTGAGCAAGGACAAGTATTAAGTAATATGTAAAGATATCATAAAGCTGCAGCTACTAAAAACATGAAGAATGCATGAGGAAAGAGAGGACACAGTAATAGACTCCAGCTAATGGAACAGCTGTTTTATGATGTAAGCATTGCACACCAGTAGGGCAAATAATTATGCAGTAAATTGAGGGCCAATTTGTAAGCCATCTTACTAAGAAGGCTTCTTCAGTTTCTGCTCTTATATTTTATAAGTGCCAGACTTTTAAGACTATAAATAAAAGTGTAAAAACACATAAACACAGGGTAAAATTGTTTTATAATCTTGGAATAAGGAAGGGCTTTTCCAAGAAAGTCATTAAACCCAGACATCTTGAAGGAAGAGACTAGTAATTTTGATCAGCTTCATAAGAATGAAAATTTCTGTACAACTAAGAATTGTAAATGAAGACAAATCAAGATTCTTGCTCTATATGACAGAGAGAACACAGTTTTACTTTATTAAAGGCTTATTCAAAGTCAACATGAAAAACATTGAAAACACAATTGAAAAATGAGTAAGGTTTCAATTTAACAGTTCATGGAATAAGGTTTCCAAATGGATTGGATTTTAAGTAAATGTATTCAAACTCACAATATAAAAAGCACTTTAAATGACTGCAATTAATCAAATATCTACCACTAATAATCTATTCACAATAAATGCAAATTTAATAAACATAAGGTAGAAATTTTAGAAAAATGATTAAAATATTAAGTTGTAAATTCAAAGGAAATCTCACAGGGAAATTACAGAACTGAAGATGGTATACTTCCAATTGTCACTTACCTTATAAAGTTATATATCTATACATAATAGACAACAATACACCTGATCGAAATGTATAGAAGAAAAACAACAACAAAAAAGGCCCAGCCACAAAAATGTTAAAACTGGTTACCACTAATGGGTTGAGTAATTTTATTTCCTCTCATATTCTCTATAGTTAATGCTTAATGGTAACTTTAAAATCAGGAACATTTAGGAGTTTTCATATAATTCAGATTTTTATACTCACCAGGAATAATGACAATAAGCAGTTTAGGCCTATTGATACTTTGCTCATTAAAAAGGTCAGTCCAGGGTCCACATTTCAGAACCTGGGTTTCAATTCCACCACAGAGAACAAATTCCTCAAGCAAAGGGACTTCTTCCTTGGTTTCTGAGTCCATTTCTAAAGAATTTTTAAAAAGCAATATATAGTGTAAGTAAAATGTAAAGTCTTGAGTCAAAGACAATACTGAAGAAAGGGTAAATTTCATAATACCTAAAAGGAAATACTATAGGACATATAGAAGATAAAAGAGTATGCAGATATTCTAGATTATAGGACCAAAAGACAAATTAACTAGCACAACCATGTTCACTGCAGCACTGAATATCATAGCCAACATATGGAATCAACCTAGATGTTCCTCAGTGGGCGAATGGATCAAGAAAATGTGGTATATAATTACAATGGAATTTTACTCATCCATCAGAAAGAATGATATTGTAACATTTGTAAGGAAATGGAAAGACTGGAAAAAAATATGTTAAGCAAAGTAAGCCAGAGTCAAAGAAACACGCTGCATGCTGCATGGTTTCCCTCATTTGTGGTAACTAGAAAGTGCCTATAAATCTACAAATAGACACAATGAGTGCTTAAAATACATGCACACACACTGGGACATGATAAATGATATAGGACTCTAGACAGTCACACACTGAGGCCAAAGGAGGACATGCACAAGAGTGGTTGACAAAAGCTCAATAGCTATGTACAGATGACCACATAAAGTAATGTTCTGTGAAATGACCTCCAAGAAAAGTAAACAAGAGGTATTTTTTAGTTGCCATTGTTGCTGTTTTTATTTTATTTTCCTTCTGTCTTGTTTGTATTTGGGAGGGGAAGGGAGAGCAGTAAAAGCTGGAATAAGGGGGAACAAATACAACAGCGATACTTAGTAGACACTGTATAGAAAATAAACTGGATATTTTGTGGGTGCTGACAGGAGGGAAAAACCAGGTGAGAGCAACAGAAGGGGAGACATGGTTCATAAAGAATTGTATTCATTACTCATTACATGATTCAGGTAACTATAACCTCTCTGTATACCAGCTCTACAATAACAATAAAAAGACAAAACATGTCTTCAGTGCAATAAGAGACCAGGCGAGGGTTTAGATTAGCTTCATCAGATTAGATTCCTGTCCATTCTAAACTGACAATGACCATGGATCAATTCCTTTTTCCCTGGTTTAAGCTGGGGGAAAAGTCCAGGGCTATGACTCGACTTTATATTTTCCCCAGAAGGGACAAAAGAACAGTGAACATATTTATGCTAATTTCTATATTAATCTTCTGCCCAAGATTCTTTTTTTTTTTTTTTTT